GCCAGCGCCAAGAGACGATGTGAGCGCGTGTCCGCCGCTTCGCGAAGTGCGCATGTCGGTCCGGAATGTTTGACTAAAGTGCTTGCCGCGGGAATGCGCCTCTTCCCCCTTTGTTATCCTGCGTCGCCCCTCGTCGGAGACCCCTCGGTTCTGGGGCCTCCGCCGCCCCGCCCGGCCCCCCCCCCCCCCCTCCGCGCGCGGGTCATTGTCGCGAGGGCCCGCGGGGAGGTCATGCACCGCGTCCGTTCCGTTGGCGCTCAGGCTCAGACGCAACGATCGACATTGTTTCTCGCGCGCCCCGCGTTGTCCAAGCGCGCCAAAACCTACAGTCCAGGCTCAGAACCTGCGCGTGGAAGATTTAGGAACAATGCGGGAGATCCCCTCGCAAATAATGCCGCCAGCGGCAGGAGAGGTTCGGAACTTTTGAGAGATGCCGAAGCTGCGGGCGCTGCGGGCTTGCAGTTCGCCCACCGCAGCAGCGCAGAAAGCGCTGGGGCCACCTCCGCAAATTCAAATCGGATTATCCGAAAATTCTGCACCAAGCGAGCGGGGTGGCCGCCAGAACACCGAGCGCAAATCCGAGCGAGGAGACAGAGAGGCCACCTTGGAGGGGCGAAGTCTTGGATGTCCTTCTGGTTGCCGCACGAGCTGCTGCGCGCGCTGCATCACTTCGGGGGCGCAGAGGTCATCGCGGATCGTAGGGGGCTCGACCAGGTCAGCCTCGAGCACGTGCAATCCGTCGACGGGCAGATGGGCGGGAAGGGAAAGCTATTCCGATCGGTTTCTGGCAGGGCGGCGCCCCTGTCAATTGGGATCGCACAATGATCCTCGAGATCTTTTCACTATTAGTCTGCCAAATCAGTCGGGCGAGTGGGGGGGGCTTGCGCCTGCCATTGACTGCCATGTTGAAGCACCAGATCGGCGAGCACGCGATGGATGACATCTGCGACGTCGCCACCTGGAGTCCCCGTTGGTTGGGCCCGAGGAAACGCCCGCCATCGCATCATGACAGCGGGGCGTGGCTGGGCAGCGACACGAAGAGGGAGCGCCTTGCGGGGCAGGCGCTCCCTTGCAAGGCGGCGTTGGCGCCAATGCGCGGAGATTGGAAAACGTTTAAAGAACTATTCAGACTGCGCCGCTGGGACGAGAAGGCGGGCCGTTGTGTTCGGTGCTGGGCGAAACCAAAGGGGTCGCAGATCAGGTGGGCCCCTCGGCGCCCTGGCGGCAGAATCGGAAATCGTGGGGCGACGTCATCGGCCGCATCTTGCGCAGCAGCTGCAGGGCGAACCCCCTGTTCCAGGCGCCGTGCGCGAGCTTGCGCGTCATCGGGATCGATTGGCTCCATGTCGCAGACACAGGTGTCTCGGCAGACTTCCACGGCGGGGCGCTATGGCACCTGCAGACGAAGGTGGCAGGCTCGACGGCGACGAAGAGCGTCGCCTTGCTGAACGATGAGCTCCACGAGTTCTACGCGGCGGATGACGCGAGGGGCAAGCTGAGGCGCCCGGGCGCGCGCGTCATCAAGCGGAGCCAGAAAGCGCCCAGGCTGAAAATGCAAGGCGCCCTGTGCCGCGCGATGGCCCTGCTCGCATTGAAGATGGCGGAGGAGCTCTGCGATCTTGGTGGCCCGCTGGGCCAGGCTGTGAACCGCGGGATGCGCCGCCTCAACGAGTGCTACGAGGCCCCCAGTGCCACGTCAGTGAGCGGACCAGGCATCCTGGCTGAGAACGCGCCCAAGTTCGCTCTCTTTTACGCGGGCCTGGCGACGTTGAAGCCCGCGCACTGGCGAGTGAAGCCCGAACTGCAAGACTGGCTCGAGGCGGCCGCCGAAGGCGGCCAGCCCGCAAGCGCGCGGGGTTATAGGGGCGAAAACTTCGGCGGGGGCGTCTCCAACACGGGGCGCGGCCGAGGCAGCGCGGTAACCGTTTCTGGCGTCAGCCGCGGAGTGATCCGCCAGTTCGGCGCGCGGCCCATTATCAGGATGAGGTGGGGTAAAAACTTGTGCGACGCGTGCGGGGTGGGGAGGGGGGGGGGATTCGGCGGCCGGCGGGCAGGCGAGACACGCGGGGGGGGGGGGCGGGCCAAGGGACTTACACCGCGTCCGCCGCAGGCGGTCTGCCCGAAGCACCGACGCGACTGCCCCCCCCCCCCCCCGCCCGCCCCGAGCCATGGTAGCCATGTCCCTCTCGGGCGCTTTCGTGCTCGGGTGGCTGATCGGCATGGCGCCGAAGAAGCGGCCCGCCGCCGCGGGCGGCGCCGCGGACAGCGCCGCGGCCAGCGACGCCGACAGCCCCGAGGGCGATCGCAAGCCGAAGGCGGCGAAGAGCCAAGCGAAGCCGCCCCCTGCCGCGTCCGAGAGCCCGCTCGCGACCGCGTCTCCCGCGTCGAAGGCCGACGAGGCCGCGGCGAAGGCCGACGCGGAGGGCCAAGCGGGGGCCACGGGGAGGTCAAGCTCGAGACAGGCAGCCCTCGCGAGCGCGCCCCAAAAGGCGCCCGCGACCAGGTGGCGACGAACGTGATGCTGACTGGCTTGCGTCAGCAGAAGGCTGACAAGGACCCCGAGAAGGCGGCGAACGCAGCGGCAGCGCTGGAGATGCACCACCAGCTGGGCAGGGAGGAGAAGGAGTCGACGGTGGAGCGCGGCAGGGGGAACAAGACCCGCGGCAGCATGCAGTGGATCGACGACTGGATGGAGACGCGCAGCAAGGACAACGCCACCGCGGCCGGCTGGAACGAGAATTGGCGCGGCCCTGGGCAGGTGCTGCAGCTTCTCGGCTTGGCCCTCAGTGACTGCGAAGCCCGCGAAGAAGCGCGGGCCTCCGTGACCGGGGAGGTGCGCCGCAACCAGGTGGCTTCAGGCACGCTGGAGCTCCACCCGCCCAAGATCGACGAGTCGAACTGGCTGATGTCTCGGTGCTTCTGGGTGGTCGGCCAGGGGAAGACCAGGGCGGCGGCCCCGCCCCCGCCCCCCTCGCCCTCCCCGCTCGGGGCCTCCTCGGCTAAGGGGCCGTCGAGTGGCGCGAACTCTTAAGGAGGAGGGGGGGGGGGGGAGGGAACGAGGGAGGGGGCGTCGGAAGGCAGGATCGAGGGGCGGGGGCGGGGCCACCTTCTGAGCACCTGCAGGGCGATCGCGGGCGGGCGCGCCGCGCAACTGGAGAGCCGCGCCAACGACTGCAAGAAGGCTATCCAGAGCGGGCGGCTCGAATTGGCCCCAGGCGCGGGCGGGGGCGACGAGGCCAAGCAGGAGTACGACGGTGGCGAAGCGCTCAAAGCCGCCGCGCACGCTGCCAAGGCCTTGCGGGCCTCCTGTGGGCAAGTACGCAGAGGCCTCCAAGGACCTCGACAAGGTTTGCGACGCGGTGAACACCTGCCAGGATGACGCCGAAGCGATCGCCGTGATCGCGGGCGATCTCGCGAAGAATGGGATTGCTGAGCTGGAAGGGGCGGCGGATGACAAAGAGAAAGCCGAAACCTTCGAGGAGGAACGCAAGTCGCGCGCCAAGCAGCGCGACGAGTGACGGAAGGCGGGCGACGTGCACGCGAAGAATGCGGCGTCGAGGGTCGCCGAGATGCAGGGCGAGCCCCTGATGGGGGCCGTCAGAGTGGAGCTAAGCCGTGCCAGGAGGCAGGCGCCAGTGGCGACGCTGCCGCGGCGCCCGCTCTGCCTTCTTAGATGCTGCGGCGGGATAAAAATCCACCTCCTCCTCCTCCCCCCCTGCCCCCCCCCCCCTCCCCCTCCTCCGCCTCCCCTCCCCCCCCTCCTTTACCCCCTGCTCTTGCTCCTGCTCCGCCAAG